ATATTATTCATTTTTGTCGGATGATAATACATTTTGTTTGGTAACAACGAGAGCTGTTGTGAAATAAATGATTGCGTTGATGTAGTTGATGTAATTTTAAGTGTTTGTAAGAGTAGTGGGTACCAAAACTACGATCGAAGAACGAAGGCAAAGAATGAATGATTTTAAATAACTGGAAAGCCAACAACTATTTATAAAGCTAATTGTCTGCTGGTGTTCATTTCTTTTGTAGGGTTTATGTATGGCACTACTGTTTTTGACAAAGATGGCATCAGCGCTGCTGTGGTAATGGCAGAAATGGCTTCTTACCTCAACCGTCAGGGACTTACCTTAACAGAGCAGCTAAACAATTTGTACAAGAGGTTTGTGATTGTGTCGTTACTAATGTTTATGCAATCATACAGATGCTTGGTACTTAATTGCATTAATCTATGGACTCCCACTCCGTAAGTCAGTTCACCAGTACACGATTGCAACGTAGTGATAACGAGTTCTCTCGTGGAAGAGAAGGCCGCTTCTTGAAAAACAGGCACGATTGCACTTGAAAAGCTGAAGATATGTGAGGGGTTGTCTGCGGTGTTGCTCTGGAGTTCACTTACCTTTCATCCCTTGGGTGTCGAATGCCCTTGTATATCTCGCCGTCTGATGAGTAAATGGATGAAGTGCCAAATGATTAAGGGACATACACGGGTCTACGTCCTTTGTAGAACAGCTTGGTGCTGTGCCTGTCAGTAGCCTTTTGAAGCTCCTTGGCCTTTCTATCCCACCACGAGTCCCTCATCTGGGGCAGCCTTTCCTAGACGTGTGCTTTGAGCTGAGGTATAACGAATTCGTGGCATTGTGTAATTTCTTCGCCAAGTAGATTCTATGGGTACTGTGTATCTTTAGTGATAACTCTGAAATCTTTATCCAATTTTTGTCAAAGCTGTCTAGATGTTTACATTTGACAAAGCGCTGGAAGAATACACGGCATCCCTGTGCTACTTCCATTCTTTTTTCAAATATCCATGTCATTGGTGTCATTATGGATGTCTGCTGATTGGCATTGTTTGAGTTTCTTGGAGAGACAATTTGCTCCTAACTATGCAGTGGTCAGACTAACACTCGACTCATCGGATTAGTAATCTTTTGCTCTACATCTATCGGTCACATTTGGTCAATCACACCCAACCTGAGCGTTCAAATCGCCAAGGATGATGAGCTTGTTTTTACCTGGTGTTCCTTTGTTGTTCTTATCCAATATCCTGGTCGAAGGCCACCTATCACACCTTCAATGCAGGTCATAGTTGGGGTGAAGGCGCCGATTATACGGATACTTGGCAGTCTCACCAGTGGCTTATAAAAATTTTTTCTTGCTTTTTAGCAATCGGAGTGCCGATTGCAAACTCAGCACTACCAGTTCAAGGCTTGTCCGACAGAAGGTTAACTCGCACTGACCTCCTCCCGACTTGATTCCACAGAGAATATTAGAACAGCTATTTCTCTGTAGTATTAATGAACCGTCGTCACTAAGAGGGCCGCTCGGCATTGCAGTCTTGAATCATTATCCAGAAGAGTGCGGACATTACACGATAAAACATGCATCGTTTTCTTACGAGAAGTACATTTCGGCTAGGATTACATCTTGGTCGGAAACTGATACCAGGCTTAGCAAAACTAAAAGCAATAGTAGAATGCAACAACGTGGACTCAAGTAGCACTGACTGAGTTCTGTAGTATGGCCCCTAAAGTGTGTGATGGAATGCATTTTGGGTTGTCCATAACAATGTATTGGTCTGTCAAATGCACCAACAAATTGCATGCAAAAATCTCTTGAATAGAAAGAGACGCTTATCTCTCGAACAGTTTACGTGTATTATAATGAAAGACGATATGTCGAATTTGAAATATCCATTTTCCAGGCCATTGAAATTTTACTTCAGTTTAAACAACGTGCCTTATCACTAAGATTGACTGATGACTCTAACGTGACTGTCTATATTGCTTGTATTTGGTTTATGTTGTAGATATGGTGTCCACGTGACTAACAACTCTTACTACCTTTGTTATTCTCCATCGACAATAAAGTCCATCTTTGATCGCATAAGGACTCTCGAGAATGCTTGGGTGAGTTGTAAGTGTATAGTAACACTCTGTTTTCTGTACCTTGGTATGATCCTTTAAAACCCGTCAATCAGGAAAGGTTACGCCATGCGAAGGGGCAATCAGAGTCGAATCACCTATGAAGTAAGCGTACAACCGTAAAGGAACTACGACTGCATGCTTTCTAGATCAATGCAATAGTTTCCTGCTTAGTACGAATGTTATTTTCGTAATTTTGTTTGGCTGCTCGTTTCGCTTCTTCGATAAAAGTAGCCGTCTCAAAATTTGACACTGTTGAGTTCATTGAAATATTCCAATATTGCACGCGTAGGTGAACAAAAATAAACAGTGACAGATGGGATTCCTCTTCGACACAGACAGCATTTTACAAAATTAAAGGAAAAGACAAAAACTAGCCGTCGTTCCCTAAGACCAACATAACACTAGATGTATGTCGTTTTGTTTATGTAGTATTTCATGTAGGGAAATTTCATGTATTGACATGCCTTCGAATTAGCGTCATAGGAGAAATACTATAATAGAAAGTCTTTACTCCATAAGTTTTAGTTCCTCGTTGATACTATGAAATTTAGCACATTAGCGTAGAACAAGGGCAATATATATATTTCTTATGTTGGAGCTGATTATGTTAACTGTTATATGTCCAAGGTGATAAATCAACAGTAAACTTAGCAGCATTCTAAGTTTTGAAACGGTGAGTTTTCATTTGTTGAAATTCACTCGACAGCGTGGGCTTGCTCGAAAAGACAAACCCCTGAAGTTGGGAAAAATGGATGTTGAATTTGCCTTAAAACTTTTTAACGGGATTTTCCTGTAAAATTATTTATCTACAATGTCAAATTACAATCCTTTGTTCATCTCACATTAAATTTTTTTTACTCCAAAGAGAGAATGCGGGGTTTTCAGCTTTCTGAATAACGAATAGCGTCCGTTGGAGCCTAGGAAACTATATGCAGCCACCACAAGAAGTCACGTGTACCTGTTAGAATACTAGAAGTTAGAATGGGGACAGTTGGGGGGACGTGTACCTGTTAGAATACTAGATGTTAGAATGGGGACAGTTTTAATGTCGCGTTTTATGACATTTCTTACGATTTTTCATATTACAGTTTAAACCAAAATTGAACTTTTTTGGATATATTTTGATAAGTTTGAAATCTTATGCTGGTAATTGAAACACATCGTGTGTTGTACGAATATTTCAGTACCCCAGTGCGTGCGGTCTCTATAAACTCTCTGGTATCAGAGATCTAACTGCTGGATATGATAGTACCAAGCCTGGTGACAAACCGGTGAGTACCTTATGACCTTTGAGGTTAGAATTCCTCGAACGATATCGAAAGATACCTGTGCTCAAACTTAACTTGGCACTCGTAAAAGGAAAATCACATATTCATGATACCTTACTCACAAAGAAATCTCAAAAGTTTGTAACGGTTATGGAAACAAAGTTGATTGCATGAAGTTTTTTGACCTAGCACAAGCTTTTCATGATGCAAACGGCGCTCTTAGTAGCCTGTGTCCATGTCCGTTTACGATTGTAATTAAAATTTAAGGTTGAAAACTGTGAATAATGAAACCTGTATTGAGCAGAGGAAATCCGCGGGACTTTCACTAGTAAACTGTGATAACAAGCCCAAATTTTGATCTTGCAATCAACTTCCATATGTGAACAAGGAACTTCAACTTGTGAACAATACGTGTAAAGTTTTAGACCGTACGTGTACAGCTGTTATTTTGCTTGATAGTCGTTTGTTTTATCGCCTCTTAGTTGCCGTTGTGTTCTGTTTCAGGTACTCATTCACTGATGATAAGTTTTGATTGTTTACTTTTTCAGCGTTGGCAAGCTGAATTCTCGTTTGTTTAGCGACCTTTCACTCTATAAAATGACGTTACAAAGTTGCGGTTTACAAAACCAAATATCGGCCGATTGCAAATCACAATAATTCTCGAACTCGTATAAGGAGAGAGAGGGTTCACCTGTCACTTCGCGGAAAAACATATGGTTATACAGATCCATCATTTATTTAGGACTCAATCAAGATTATCAGCAACATTTTAAATGTTGTTAATCTATTATTTTGATGGTTATGTTCACCAGGTTCTTCCAGTTAGCAAGTCAAGTCAGATGATCACATTCTATTTCGAGAATGGATGCGTTGCCACTCTTCGAACAAGTGGTACTGAACCAAAGATTAAATATTACACGGAGCTTGCATGCAAGCCGGGAGAAAAGTATGTGGTTGTTTTCCACTGTCTCACGCTCGTAATAAATATTTAGTGTCTTTCTTTATTCGACGGTTAAGCTTAAAATTGACCATCATTTACCACTTTGGGATACTTGCTGATCCTAACTGTAGGTAGGACGTTTTTGTTATACATAAATATAGCTCCTTAATTAACTGACGAGGGCAAAACTCGAATCCTCTTTCACGCAACAGAAATCTCGTGTTCATAATCTCTCGTTTGCTTACATATTTACCGAGTTTCAGAGGTAACATCAGGCAGGAAAACGTATTATTCCACTTATTCCGCGACTGACACTGGGTAGATCTCTCTATTTTCAAAACCCTTTGAAAAAAAAGATGACAAACACTTGTCTCTCAAGGTAATTAGGATCTCAGCCAGCTCTAAATAAGTTTGCTTTCAAATATTCTACCAAATAAGCTACGGAGAACTTACAGAAATTGAGAGCGAATCATCTAATTGTTGCCTTAGCAAGGTTTCGGGTCCAGAGGCTAGAAATCCGAAGAAGCATTATAGTAGTCTCTACATGTACAAGGAGATATACGAAATTGATAAAAAGATTAAGAAAATAGTATGTGTTGGTATAGTAGGCGGTACGAACTGAGTGAAGGAAGCGCGCTTGGTCGTATCGGGTAATTTCTTACCGAGATAGCAAGGTGGGTAAGTTTCGCTACTAATGCGATGAATTTTCACTTCATTTCGCTCTATATTGATCTTTGTGAAAATAAAAGTCGTTTAACATTACCGGATAGATTTTCTTTGAGAAAGAAATAATTGTTGGACACAAATCAAGAACTAGAGAACAGACTCGATCCAATAATCTGTTACGCGAAATCAGAAAGACTCTCCTCAAAATAATGTGTTTATCATGTCTGGTTAGCGTGCCGTCGTAGATCGTCAAAGACAAGCTATGGTGGAACCTAAATATTCAAATATTTGATTGCTGGAGGGAAAAAAGATGGCAGTTGACCATCTACAACTCAGGATGAAACCAAATACAGATAAACTTTGCAACATTTTTTCGAAATTGACGGTTTTAGCTGAAAAGCGCCCGCCAGCTATCAATAAGAAGCCCTAAATCACTCACAGTATCTCAAAATAACAGTTCCATTCAAAGAATTGCAAAACTTTATCTTGTGAGAAAAACAAGTACATTCTCTTGCGAGTACGAAACTAAGACATTAAAAATCTTCATGCTTCGGTTGGTTCTCCTCTTTATTTATCTAGACTTTCTGCAACTTTGCTGAATGAACATAAAATCTTGCGTTAAAACAATAATTATGTGTATCAACATTAACATTGTGGAAGTTTTGAAAAGTCGGAAGCTTCACTTGGAGTGAAGGATCGAAGTATCCTTAACTCGAGAACTCGTTTCATCGCTTTTAAGCCTCTGTAACTTTGTTACTGCCAGTGAAACTTGAATAAGAACCCTTCACAGCTCGCATGTCTTAAAACACGCATAGCTCGTGATTCGGTGTACCGTTTTCTCCATAATTGAAACACAAGATACCTTTTTTATTGCCTCGCGGCTGCTTTCATCATCTTGCGAAGGAAAAGTTATTTCGCGCCCTTTCAGTCATAAAATCTCAGTATGCACACTTAACTGGTATTATGGCTGAGGTTGCCAAGGAACTTTCTGTAGCACAATTAACCCGTGTTCTATGATGTGGTTTTCCATGAGTTACTTGAAGTAATTCGTTGAAACAGTAGAGAAGGTGTGGCGCACTTCATATCATGGTGTTCTGTGTGTTTGACGCGCACTTTCTTCCTTTCTTTTAGTGTGGACATTCCAACAGCCAATGAAACTCTTCTGAACATCGTTAACACAATCGTTCAAGAATGGTTACGGCCTGATGTAAACAACCTCATTCCCAAGCAAGACTGAAAACTACTACATTTCTCTTTTAAACGTTGAAGAAGATATGAATCCGATAATATATTCAGTGGCGGATCCAGGCAGAGAGGGCTCGGGGGTCCAGACCCCCGCTTCTTATTAGACCTGCGGATTTCTTTTACCACTTGTCTTTAACCAAAATTCTTGCAAAGACAGGGTCTTATGTTATTACGCAGTATCAAGTATATAATGTTCACTTGTCTTGCAGTATTTCTTGGCTTATTTAGGCTTTGGTGTTTAAAAGTCCCCCCCCCTCCACTGAAAAAAATCCTGGATCCACCCCCGGTACTGATGTTGATCGTGTGATTTTCACTGAGTGCTGATGAAAGAAATTTATTGCTGATCTATTGTTATTTGTTTTTATTAAACCATTTAAAATGAACCGCGAAAGGCTAACTTGCATCCACCTCAGTCATGAACGTTCTGTACTATACATCTCACTATCACAAAAAGAATTGATGTTTCTTTAATTTAGAGATGAATAGATTTATAGTTATATGTAACAACGATTTATGCTACTTTTTCTATCCTTTTTCAGTGTGCTGTCTCGTGTTTCAAAATATGCTGCCCCTTTGGATAATTTTAGTAAATATGTTAGCTAGCCTAAACGTTTTCTTTTTCCGGTTTTGGCAAATACCATTCGCGAAAGAAGCATGACACAACATCTCAAGTTGATGAAGTTAATTTCGGAAACAATTAGACATCCTTAGAGGAAAAAACAGTTTTGCTTTAAATTCAGGATAATGAAGGGCTTCCGGTGGATGAACAATGTACTTTCAAAGTGGGTCAGAAAATTCGCAGATTTTCAAATATCGTGACATCTCGGTTACAACTGGGTGTCCTCGTTTTCTCACGTTAGGGCGCATGTAGGAGCCACTTTAAGTAGCATAAGAATAAGCATAGAAGTATATTACAAGTGCCCTTAAATAAGTCCCCCTCTGCAGTTGCCCCTCTAGTGAGAAGTCCGGCTGTCAATTCCTTGCGCAGAATGAATTGAGTAACTACGCGTCTCTCTGGTTACGGTTACCTTTCAACGAAATTCTGTTTTAATTTCCTGTGATCGGAAGAAAAGGGAAAGCTGTAAGTTACTTTGAGTGCTCTGATCGTTCGAAATTTGATAAACTAATGAAGAAAAGACCAAATCATTTTGCAGTTGTAAAAGCAATAAGGCGCATTTTTAATTGGAGTTTTCAGAGGCTATTCTTAAAACTCGGTAATAACCTTCCTTCGCCTCATAAATTCTACGTTGGTTTATTGTTCCTTTAAGCCTATGGAATGAAAGGTCACCCTGAGATGAGAACTTTAAAGAAAACCGTTTTATGACAAAAGTTTCCCTTTATATTGTTGGGTCAAGTAATTCTCAATCAACCGATTTTTGTTTCCAAACCTTGTCTCTCCCTGGAAATTTTGAGCGTTTCGGGATACTAAAGCGATAGAGGGCCAAGGCACTTCAACAAGGATTTGACTGTATTCGAAGAATAACGACAATTTGTAATTTTTTTTTCAGTCCGGTGAAGAACGCTCTTTTCTTCATATATCTCTGGGCTTCTTTTAGCAAAATGTACCGTGGGGATAGAAGGAACTAGCTGCAAAACTAGCGGCTCTGTGGGTTCTTCATAAAATAAAGGCCCACCCCTCAGAAGGCGAATGCATCGCTGCTAGACGTTCTAATATTTATATTTTTCACAGAAATACTTTGCATGCACATTCTCCACATTATTTCCTCTTCAATTTAATCATAAGTCGGAACTATCACAGATTGATTTAGAACGGGGCTGGAGCTCAAAGCAAACTCCTCAGAGCTTTAGTCAAACTACAAATTTTTGCTAAAAGTCATTAGATCGTTAAAATAAAATGTTACGTTGTATCAAGTTAATATGGGTAAATAAACTTGCCGTAAGTGGCGTAGAGACAATCGGCAAAACAACAGGATTCAGTTAAAAATATATTTAACTTCGCTTTACTTATTAATTGCTCCATTCTGTGCGAGCACTGATACAGGGGTTTCACGAAGACAGCGACAGACCTCGGGCCGTCAATGACTCAAAGTTTAACCTTCAGCCATCAAAAACGATAAATAGTTGAAAATAGGTGACCTTATTTATGACTTGTCTTTGCACACGCTCACAACTGAGATCGCGCTTAGATCATGT